GGTAGTACAGTGGATACAAACGTGGGTCCGATTTCGAGTCCTGATCTGGAGTGACCAGTCCTGTGAGATGGAGAACTGGTAGGTCGGCTTAGCCTCTCCCAGACTTGTTTTCTGTCCTGCAGAGACGGGGCTCGCTAGTCGTCCCCCCCGTAGAAGTGCTGCGGGGTGTAAATGACACGCGAGGGCAGCCCGAGCACAGCTGCTCATTCCTCGTAAGTGCAGGATAGCATAGCTTTTGCGGTGACGGCTTTATGACCGCCCCGTGTAGACTCTCAGTGCTCCAAAGTGATGCCTTGTGGTTTGAAGATGGGATTCTCACTTCTGTAAATACCCAAGAATTGTGTTATTGGGCCCTGCTGATTTGAATCTATTCTTTAGAAAGTACATATTGTAGATATATTTTTCAAGCATGCGTGCTTTTTTTCTTTTATTATTTATAGTTCTACCCTCTCATCTCTAGGTGTAACTTTTCATGGAATCCAGGAAACAGTCCTAAGCCACCTGCCTCTTCACACTTCTCCGTGGTGGTTTTCTTCCCTGACTAGAAGATGGTTTTGCATAGGAAATTTTCTTTGTTCCCCTTTTCTTAGAGTCTCTCTGTTTGCCCATCTCTCACCTGTCCATCTGTCCATTTCTCTACCCACTCATTCTTCTGACTTGTTCCAAAAAGCATTTCAGGCAGCTTCCAGAAGAAGAGATACCAAATAAGCAGTTGAGAAAATGGGGCCAAGTTCAGACAGTGAGGCTAGGAGGTGAGCCTGTGTGAGGGTTGCAGGCGTGAGACACACGCCTCTGCCTTGTGACTTATAAGATCGACAGCAACAGTGTGCCTGAGGCTCCCAGCAGACACAGGGAAGCAGGGTTTGTGGGAGATGTTCACTGGCTGTGAAATAATTAAGTGTCTTAGGAGAAGCCCAGCCTTTCCAGCTACTAGGGATTAGGAGAATATTTTGAGTGTCTTCCAAAATCAGAATATTGCATCTTTTCTTTTTCAGCGTTCTATGTATGTTGGTTACATTCTATACTTGGAATATTCTCCAAAACTGCTTCCCACGTGAGTCCCATTGCTCGGGAATGGGGTGGATCTGCTCATTGACGGGTGTTGGCCAGAAACAGAAAATGACAGCCTCAAAGGAGCCTGGGATATGTCAGTTATGTTTTGTCAGTGCTGTACATTTCAGAAAATGCTTTCACAGTTTCTCTCCATCTGAGGCAGCAGCGTGCTCTCTTACCAGCATCAGGAGCTCAGGGCCACGGAATGGTGGGGGCTGACTGCACTGCTGTCAAGAAAGCTAAGATAGTCACTACAGGCGTGGTGCTTTTACATAGTGCATTTCATGTTCTTTAATAGGTTTCAACAGGTAGTTAATTAACTGAGTTAATTAACATTTAATAAATATGATGCTTTTTTGAAAAGACAGTTATAGACAGAATATAAGTTGTGAACACTTTAAAAACGGTTTCATTACTGAAATTTCAGTAGGGAAGATTGTCTATCTTATTTACGCCTCTCTTTAAAAGTAACAAAGAAACAAGACAGAAAAAGCAGAGGATGATTTCTGTTCTTCCTCTCGGCTTTCAGGTGCCCTCACCTCGAGTGGCATCCATCCAAATACTAGCATTGACACTTTCCGTTCTCAGAACTGCCTCAGCCCTGAAGACACAACTGACAAGTAGAAGGGGGCCACGCCCTGTTACAGCAGGTGCTCTCACTCTGTGGGTCCTTATGTAAGTGCATGGTGTTATTCAGGATCACCCGTTCTACATTGTGTGACGCTGCTATGGTGTCTCCTAGTTATTTGTTTCTGTAAGTACTCGTGTATTTTTTTTAATCTGTGGTACTAGACATCTAAAAATGTTTTTTCAGATGAAAAATAATGTGTATTTATTATAAAAGTCGGAAAAAAGGGTCAAAAGTGTCTCTCCTGGTCCCACTACTCAGAGATAGTAATTAACACTTTAACATCTATTTTCTGTTCTTTTCATCAGTGTGTATTACCTCTGTCATAAAAACCAGCAAGAACTCTGTGCCTGTTAACTGTGTGGAGACCTCCATTTTCCATTTGGCTTATTACACGTTTTTCTACAATATTCTATCTCCCCTGGCATGATTTTTAATGACCAGTATAGCATTCTGTCTTGTGGAGGG